ATACCAAGAACTGATACTAGTGGTGTGATCTCAGAAGAATATGACACAGCAGTTTTTCCTCTGTGGTTTTGACTACAGGGCTGCAAGCAGTGTTATGCTGGATCCGGTACACCTCCTTTTATTTTAGCCACAAAAGCATCAAAATGTAACCACTTCATCTGAGAGAAAAGAGGGAGAAGAAGATAATTCAGCCTTCCAAAAATAAGCAGCTAATTTTCTTATTCTGTGGAGTAAATTCCAATGAGATTTCCAGAGGCAAAGCTTTCAGATGTCAATGTCAGATGTCTGCCTCGCTCTTCCCTCTCAGGCAGGCAGGGAAGTGCAGGATACCTGCTTGGAATCCAGCCCTTGTCCAAGGAGAGGTGACTCATGGAGCAACGCTGCAGGACAGAGGCAGATGACTCCCCCACATCTACTAAACACACCTTTGCACAACTCAGGCAAGAAGAGTGCTGCCTGTTTCTTAGGCCTTTCCTCAGGTTCCAAAGGTTTGATGCTGTACGGATGGCCTCTTAGAAAGGCACCCACACTAGTAATCTACATCTAACGTTATAACTGGTTGGTTGGATGAGGGGAGGGCAGCAGATGTCATCTACCTTGACTTCAGCAAGGCTTTTGACACTGTCTCCCATAACATCCTCATTGGGAAACTGAGGAAGTGTGGGCTGGAGGAGGGGACAGTGAGGTGCATTGACAACTGGCTGTGCAACAGGACCCAAAGGGTAATGATTAATGGAGCTGGTTCAAGCTGGAAGCCTGTAACCAGTGGTGTCCCGCAGGGGTCAATTCTTGGTCCAGTGCTGTTCAATATATTCATCAGTGACCTGGATGAGGGCACAGAGTGTATCCTCAGCAAGTTTGCTGATGATACCAAACTGGGAGGGGTGGCTGACACCCCAGAGGGCCGTGCTGCCATCCAGCAAGATCTGGACAGGCTGGAGGGCTGGGCAAGGAAGAACCTCATGAGGTTCAACAAGGAAAAGTGTAGGATCCTGCAGAAGAATGTTAGGCATCAATACAGGTTAGGGGTGGACCTGCTGGAGACAAGCTCTGAAGAAAAGGATCTGGGGGTCCTGGTGGACAGCAAAATGACAATGAGCAAACAGTGTGCTCTTGTGGCCAGAAGGGCCAACGGAATCCTGGGCTTCATAGGGAAGAGTGTGGCCAACAAGTCAAGGGAGATCATTCTGCGCCTCTACTCTGCACTGGTGAGGCCACAACTGGAATACTGCGTCCAGTTCAAGAGGGACAGGGAACTGCTGGAAAGAGTCCAGCGTAGGGCTACAAAGATGATTCAAGGACTGGAGCATCTCCTTTATGAGGAGAGGCTGAAAGAGCTGGGACTCTTTAGTCTGGAGAAGAGAAGGCTGAGGGGAGACCTTATTA